TCTTACCTGAACTTTAATGTAAACCAAATTTCTACCTCATGACAGAGAAAAGAAAGCACATGAAAGTGTTACCTTTAGTTTAAATAGGTCAAACTTTGGTCCCTTTTGAAAAATAATCATTTATTTACAAAAAAAAGATACTGTACATACGAATAACAAAAATATAAAAAACTATATACACAAATATAAACTTTTTACAAACAGGAATAAAAGGGAGCTTGCTTGGAGGAATGAGAGGAGTGAAGAGAAGAGTGAGGGACAAGAAGGAGAGGAGAAAGGAGAGATGAAGCCTTGTTCGTTCCCTGCAGAGATTGTTACCCCAATTTAAAAAAAAACAAAAAACAAAGCTACTCTGTGGGTTCCAATGGTTCCAAATTTAGCGTAACAGTGCTAGCTTCGTAAATTAATTTGTGAATTTGAAAATTGACAAATTGCTTTGTCTCAGGTGGCAATCTCTCCAGGGAAGGAAGCAGGCTTTGGAAGAACAGTTCATCCTCTGAGGGGGGAGGTGGAGCTGGTGCTGCAGGCTGGTTTCGTAGCGCCTCTAGCAGCAGCTTCTCCACCTCCGTCGGCTGTTCCCTCAACCTTTTCTGTTGCCTCCTCCTTGGGGTCACTGTATATAATATAAACAAGATATTTTGAGATGCTACAGCATTTTACTCAATCCCATACTTTGTAAAAGTAATCAAGGAACACACAAAAGTTATGTGAGTATAAAATGAAATGCAATGAACACAGTACAATGGAAAAGCAAATATGTAGAATTCTAACAATAAAAAATTCACATTCGAATAGCTGGAATCACACAATTTCCTCCTTTTAGAAATTGCTCAAAGTAATTTATTTCAAAAATATTGAGTGATCAGTGTCATAATTGATAAACAACCTTGTAGCTCTAGTCATGTACATACCTCTGGGTACAGCAGCCGATGTGGAAGCAGCTTCCACGGCAGGTTCAGGAGGGGCAGAAGCAGCAGCAGGTTCTGGCAGCGACAGGTGGCCCACATCACTGCCTTCGCCATCATCAGAGATGGGACCTGGATGTTCTGTAGTGACAATATATAAATGCACCCATGTTAATACACTCTATAGGTTCAGCTGTGATAATATTTAGCTTTTGATTTCCCCACCAAATAATGACATAAAAACAACTCATAACCTACCATCTATAGCCCCTTATGTGTTTCCCATGCTGTGTGCATGTGTGTCTTTAGCTGTCAACAAACCTTGGTCCTCAAGCTCTGACTGCCCTGCTGCTGCTTCTCTATCTGGCCCCTGGTCATCACTTTGGTCGTACTCTGCAGCCCTGTGTTCCTCAACCACCTCCTCCATGTTACCCGATGTTTCTCTCGGGGTAACGAAGAGGTCGAGGAAAGACAGGACTGCAGAGTACTTCCACCTTTTTTCTGTCCCTGCTGCTGAGCCACTTCTCTTCTCTGTCTCCTTTTTCCTCTCCTTCAAATATGTGTCCCTCAGGCTCTTCCATTTCTTCCTGCATGACTCCACTGAAGAAAAACACGTAAATATGAACTAGTGAAGCCAAAATTAGCGTCTTTGCCACAATGGCGGTTGTGCTAATCGGGGCAGTGCTTGCTAGTAATACCGATAGCTGGAATTAAATGACAGACAAATGTTTTCACAACTTACCAGGTTCTCCGACCTCCTCACTCACTTTCTTCCAAGCAAGCTCCTTTTTATTCCTGTTCTGATAAAAGAAGGAGGCTGTGTCGTATACATCCGGCGATAATAAGCTTTTCCTCCATTTTCCAAAGAATGAGTGAGGAGCCGGTGCCTGCCGGTTCTTGACGTCACCAGAGAATCTCAACGCTGATTGGCCATCGTGGCATGTCAGATCGCAAAAGTTCCGATTTTTCAACTTGCTCTTTTGACGCGCGTCTAAAATCGCATCAAATTCGCTCAATTCGCGTCAATCGCACGAGTCGCGCCGCGGAACATTTACTCGCGTCTAATCGTGTCTTCACATTGACTTTATATGTAAATCATTCGTGCGAATGATTTTTCTGGCGTATGGTGTGAACACAGCATGAGAGGCAAATATTGTACTTTTCACTGTACTACATCTGTCCAACAGCTTTAGTTACTACTAGTTACTGATTAAAATGTTATCCTCTTCCTATCTAGTGGAAATAATGTATCTGCACTAGGTTGGCCAAATTCTCCTTCATCTCAGGCCTAAGCCTTAACAAGACAAAATAACAGCAGATTAATGCAGCAGAAATATTAATGTACAAACTTGAAAAACATTGAAGCAGTGGACTACTACTTTACACAATATTTACTACTTAAAGTACATTTGGCTTATAATACTTTTCCTGAATTATATTTTGAATGCAGGACTTTATTTTGCACGTTGTATTACTACACCCACTTGATTAAATTATCTAAATATAAAATGACAAATCAGATATTTACTACGTTTTTGGTGAACACTTGTGATAGTCCTTAATTTCGTTGTTGTCTGCTCTGACATCACAAGCTCTGTTGGGTGGTGGGAGGTTAATGTTGTACTGGAAAGCAGCAAACAAAGACAGAAACAAAAGAAGCACAGATAACACAAGGAAGGTCCTCTATGTTTATGTTCATCACCCTCCTTAAAGCTGCAAACCAAGCCTTCAAAAGAACATTCAATTTCCATGCATGACTGGCAAAGTGATAGCCTGTAATTCTACCCCTCTGCCGTAACTCTGCCATTGCGGTCTTCCTTCATTCGTTATGGATCACCTTTAGGAGAAACACAGGCAGTTGTGATTTTTAACAATGAACAATCCATGTGTGAGTTACTGTGTCAATGTTCACACTGTAGAGTCCTACTAATGGTGTAAACTAAAATATGCTCAGATGTGTGTTTTCCTATCATCACATGAGTGACCTTTTTCTTCTGTCCCTTTGTCCCTGCAGACCTCACGCAACATACCTGCACAAATCAGGCAGGTCTTGCTGAGCAGCAGTTCTGTAACCATGAGAGGAGCTCTAGTCTTGACCAGGAGGACCCAGAACCTCCAGAGATTAAGGAGGAAGAGCAAGAATTCTGTACCAGTCTGGACCTAGAAGGCCCAAAGTCTCCACAGAATATTGAGGAACAGGGCGAACTCTGCACCGCTCTGGACCAAGATGACCCAGAGCCTCCACAAATTAAAGAGGAACAGGAGGAACTTTACACCAGTCAGGAGGAAGAGCAGCTTTTACTGAAGCAGGAGACTGATAGCTTTATGGTGACTCCTGCTTATGAGGAAAGTGACCATAGTGAACCAGAACCAAACGGTGACCAACTCATCTCCCACATCTCTCCTGTAGCTGAGAGCCAAGATCAGGAAGGAAGCAACACCTTAAAAATTCTGTCCCAAATGAAGAAACATCACCGAAGTCACACCAGTGTGAAGCCATTTTCTTGCAGCATTTGTAGAAAAAGTTTCAGTCAGATTTGTGTTTTAAAACATCATGAACGAACCCATATGTGTGAGAAACCTTACCCCTGCAACACATGCGAGAAAAGATTCAAAGATAAAAGTTCACTAAAACATCACATAAAAACTCACACAGGTGAAAAGCCGTATTATTGTCAAACATGTGGTAAAAATTTCAGTCGAAGCCATCATTTGACTGTCCACATAAGAACACACACAGGTGAGAGACCATATCCTTGTGGAATATGTGGTAAAAGTTTCACTCAGAATGGTAGTTTGAAAATTCACATGAGAACGCACACTGGTGAGAGGCCCTATTCTTGCAAAACCTGTGGGAAAAGTTTCGCTCACAGTTGGATTTTGACTGACCACACAAGAACTCATTGTCAGAGGTGACAGTCTTGAAACAGCTGTGGGCAAAATTATCTTGGGACCCAGCTTGAAATATCATGTGAGAATTAAAACAGGTTAGAAGTAGATCTATCGAATTTAAGGTTGCTTTAGACTGTTCTTCAACAACAATCCTGTGAGTTTATCGATGTCACATTGTGAGAGATGGAAATAATAAAATCTGGTTTCGATCTGTATCAGACTGCGCAGTTATTCTGACTGTTTCGAAACTGCCCAGTGGATACATGGCGACTCATACAGAAGCACATAGTATTTTTCAGATTTGTTTTGAGCAAGTTGTATCATTAAATGTCTATATGCAACATTAAATGTGTGTATTTTCTGATGCATCAACTTCTTGTTGTTTCACACTTTGGAAGCTTACAAAATGTAGCGGATGAACAACATGTTTAAAAAATAAATGTTCTTTTTTCAAATAGTGCCGCATGCAAGACATCAGGTGGCACTCTCCCCCAGAGTCTTTGAGGGCATGTGACTTGTGCAGTATATGTGAACAAATTAAATTTGCTGAGTTTGTGGGTCTCTGAGCAAAAACTTTCATGATGGCTTGCAGGAGTCATAACTACAGAGATGCAGAGCGGCACGCAGCCAGAATGAACAAGCCTGTGACCCTAAGCTCAGGACACAGAAACCCTGAAGTTACAGATATGAATCTCTCACGGCAGAAGTGCAGCAAAAGTCATCTGTAAAAAGACAGCAAATGGTGAGGCTTGCTTGACTTGTAACTGGTGATTTGTCTGTATGCTAGCACTTGTAGCCAAATACTTAGAATTTTCTTTTGTATGCATTTACAGATCTTTTACACATCCACAAATCTTTTAAAAATCCTTTTACACATTCACAAATCTCACTACACAGATTGCAATACAGACACACAACTCTCCATGCACATTTACAAATAGTTTTATTACAACAATACCCCCGTAGAATACTCCTTTCAGTACTTCTTATTAACACAATTGATTTTGTTACTGCAAGTGTCATCAACCTTAGTGGTGGTAATGCAACCAATGGTCAGTGTCTGTTGCTTTTCTAATCTCATATGTATTCCAAAAATGATGCTTTGTGAAGTAATAATGCAGTAATATCAAATTTACTCTGAAGTCTAAGTAGTCGCAGTTCATGAACAGAACAGCCTTTTGACTTTATTGAAGAGGTAAGTAGAGAGAGGAAGGCAGGAAAGAAGGGAGAAGAGTGGGGAAAGGACCTGCAGCAAATGGCCATGGGCTGGATTCAAAACCATGGCTGCTGCATTGGGGACTTTAGCTTCTGTTTATGGGTACCTGCTCAACCTGTTGAGCTACCAGGGCACCCACAACAGCTACATTTACAGGGATGCAAAGTATGTATACTTTGCAATGCAATTGATTCCTCAGATGGCCCAGATTACATCTAAACTAGCACATTAAATCTTCAATTAAATATATATTACATGCTGAGTATTAAAGAAGGCTATATTAAGTCCCATCCCTTTATATTTAGCAATGTATAAGTAATTTGGAAATTTATTCGCTTATTAGGAAATGCTAAAAAGTATTTCACAGACAAACTGACTTAAGCATGTAATAATATTAAGTCATTTGAACAAGATCAGTCAATTAGAAAAATTAATCCAGCAATGGTACCTGCAGAGATGTTAAAGGTGTATGGTTCACACCACAAGCTGAGAGAAATAGCTGTTGTACCTGTTTTGTTTTCTTTCTAATATTGGATTGTCTCTTGGATCAAACATCAAATACCTTGATGAGGGCCCTCATACATTAATTGAAGCACAGCTTCCTTTGAGGTTTCAAACATGTTGTGAGCAAGTAGGGTTTTAACTCAAACTGTTGTATTGTCCTGAACATAACCAAACAGAAAGTGAAATAGAAATTAAAGTCTAACCTGAAATACCATCATCCCCTTCTACTTCTTGTGCCAACTTTGTGGTTCCTACAAATGAGGAGCCTTTTCTTCCACTTCACAGTTTTACCTTTTCTTGAGGAACTACGTTTTGCTCAAAACATAAATAAGAACACATTTAAGTTGTACAGAAATGTAATTTCTGAGAGACAGAGTTGGGATAAAGGTCTGTGATTTTTGAATCTAGCTGATTTTTTTTTTTAAGTTGTGTTTTGTCATGTAAATAAACTAAATTTTAACCAGTGCTGCTGTGGCAGCTGGACCAGCAAGGTGGGATCAGGAAGAGATAACTATAGCTAATGAAAAGATAGATGGAGCCACAGCTCCACATCTTCTGATATTTCTTTAACACAACATAGAGCAATGCAGTTGTATGCTGTATCATGTTCAATATTTATTTGTCACAAGGCACTTGGCACTTCCAATATTACAATCAATGTCTGCAGTGGAGCATGTTACATAGAATATAAATCTGTGGGTAAATAATCAGATAAACATTCAGCAAGTGATTATGAGTCGAGAACACACATATGCATACAGGATTAACCTTCAGTGTAAAAACCAAGTTTACTTTTACTGAGCACACAACATTTACCAAAAAATAAAAAGTTTTAAGACACTGATTTATAATTCTAAGGAAACTATCTCATAATTTTCATTTTTTAAAAGACTTCTTAGGTATTAAAATTATAAAATATTATATTAAAATCATTGATGGTTATCAGTACATTCATTGGTTCACAGCATGAGGTTCACATGGTTCAATGTACTGATAACCATCAATGATTTTAATACCTAAGAAGTGTGAGATCTTATGTGTTTTTTCAATGCTGAGGAGTCTTTACATTTCTTCTCACAAGTGTTGCATGGGTACGGTCTTTCACCAGAGTGGCTTCTCACATGGATAATCAAGCTGCTATTTTGAGTGAAACCTTTTCCCCATTTCACAAGAATAGGATTTCTCACCTGTGTGAGTTCTCATGTGGTCTCTAAGGTGAGAGCAATAACTGAAACTTTTTCCACATGTATGGCAAGAATGAGCCTTCTTCTCTGTGTGAGTTCTCATATGGAGGGTCAGATCCTCTCTTTTAGAGAAATTTTTCTTACACATTTTGCATAAAAATGGCTCCTCTCCTTTGTGAGTTATTTCATATTTCATTAATGAAATTTTTGACAATCTTTTTCCACAAGTGTTGCAAAGGTATGGTTTCTCACCTGTGTGAATTCCTGTATGAGGCTTGAATGATGATAAATCACTAAATGTTTTTCCACATGTGTTGCAAAGGTATGATTTCTCAAATGTGTGGATTCTTGTATGACTCCTGTGGGCTGACAAGTCACTAAATCTTTTCCCACAAGTCTTACACAGATATGGTTTCTCACCTGTGTTAGTTCTCATATGGACCAACAAGTTATCCTGAAATCTGAAACCTTTACCACAAGTTTCACAAGAATACGGTTTTTCACCTGTGTGGATTCTTATGTGGTCAGTCAAATGATGACTACAACTGAAACTTTTCCCACATGTTTGGCAAGCATATGGATTCTCATCTGTCTGGCCTGGAGCACTTTTGAAAGCTGATAAGACTGAAAATGTTCTGCCACATGTGTTACAAAGGTATGGCTTCTCACTCGTGTACGTTCTCATGTGGACTTTCAAGGTAGTGCTACAATAAAACTTTTCCCACAAGTGTTGCAAGCACATGACTTTTTACCTGTGGGGATTCTAGGGTGTTTGTCCATTTGAGACTTTATCTTTAAGCCTTTGCTTTCTTCCTGATCATGGCTCTAAGCTACAGGAAAGTTGTGAGAGAGAAGCAGGTCACTGTTTGGCTCTGGTTCACTGTGGTTGCTTTCCTCATAAGTAGGTGTTTCTATAAAGGTTTCAGTTTCCTGCTTAAGTATAAACTGCTCTCCCTCCTGACTGGTGCTGAGTTGGTCGTGTTCCTCTTTCAACTGTGGAGGTTCTGGGTCCTCCTGGCTCAGACCAGTGCAGAGTTGGTCCTGTTCCTCTTTAATCAGCGGAGGCTCAGAGTTGTCCTGGTTCTGGTTCAGACCAGTGCAGAGTTCACCCTGTTCCGCTTTAATCTGTGGAGGGTCTCGATCCTCGTGTTCTTCTTTAATTTGCTGGTGCTCAGCAAGAACTGCTTCCTCCTTACAAACATGTTGCTGTGGTAGGTTTAGAGGGACAAATAGGCACACGAGAAACTCTACTAATGTGATAATAGGAAAACGCATATTATTTATATTCCTGTTTTAAACCAGGGCTAGCAGGGCTAAGCATGTCCTTCACATATAGAAATTAAATTTAAACTGTGCAAATGAAACAAATTACTTGGGTTAGGACAGGCAGGCTAAAAGCTAAAGAACTCGCATTGTTTAAAATCACAACTGCCTGTGTTTCTTCTGGGTGATCCTGCTGATACCATACCTCATGAAGTAATACTCCAGGGGCAGAGTTATCCCACAGAAACAGTATTATAGACTACCACTTTGCTAGGCAGGCATGTTGATTAAAAAGTCATTTGAAGGCAGGGTTTGCAGCTTTTAGGGGGATGAACATAAAAATGGAAGAAATTTCTTTGACAAATATTGTTCTAAGTTCTCCCCGTGCAGTGTGGGTGTTCTCCGGGTTCTCTGGCTTCCTCCCATAGTCCAAAAACATGTTGAGGTTAATTGGTGATTCTAAATTGTCCATAGGTGTGAATATAAGTGTGCTTGGTTGTCGGTCTCTAAGTGTAGCCCTGTGATAGACTGGTGACCTGTCCAGGGTGTCCCCTGCCTTTGCCCTAAGTTGGCTGGGATAGGCTCCAGCCCCCCGTGACCCTAGTGAGGATTAAGCGGTGTATAGATAATGGATGGATGGATGGATGAATATTGTTCTAAGTACTAATACCACATCCTGAAAATAACTCACTGCAAGTACAACTTTTGCATTCAAAACTATTTTTTTCAGGAAAAGTATCAAAGTATCATCAGTGAAATGTACTTCAATTAAAGAATATTGTCAAAAGTAAGAGTATCGCAGTAAAGCTTTTCCTTTCACTGTTTTAAATAATGGATTAATTCATGGATTAATTTTGCAGCTGCATTCATGTGCTTTCATTTCAACTTTTTAGTAAATTTCACAGCCAATGTATTTTTTTTCCTTTCTTTTTCGGTGTTTTTAAACAATCTATTTGGTTCAACTGGAGCAAGTTTGTCAATCTAGTGCAAATACATGACTTTCACTGGACAGGATGAGCACAGAAATTTGTTATCTGAATAATAAGCCTGTGGGACTAATGCAGTGAAGAAAAAAGCACAAATTTCTCCGATGGAAAAAGCAGACAAAGTGTGTGCTATATAGGAAAGCAGCATTGAGTATCAGCTGATAGTAAATATTACATGACTCGGGTTTCATCAAGAGCAAAAAAAATCTGACCTGGACACCCTTATTTATAAGCATATTATACATCACTGGATGTTCTGTCCGATCTGTATGACAAATATCGCACCACCTCTCTCTCGGTCACTGTAGTGAGTACATCTGAATGAAAATGTGACAAACATTAAAGTGACATACGTCTCAATGACAGAATGCCGTCACTTCAAGGAGCAATGTTATGTATTCCATGATTGAAAAAGACATAATGTGATATTTTCTTAAGCTGTGAAATGTCCTTTTTTCCCCTTCTTTTTATTATTATTTTTTTTTTGCATTTTCTTACATGGAGCTTTCACATGTTAAAAAAAAAAACTTGTCTTTAAGGGTCTTAAAGTTAAATCTCCTTTTTGCAGGTAAAGGTATTTTAGTTTCTCTAGCATAATTTAGTTTCGACTGGTTCAGTCCAAGTACAGTGGTTTGAGAACTGGGTGTGGTCTAATGGGGTCTGAATGAAAAAATAACATCACTCATTGTATATCTCCTTTAGCGAATCACCTGACCTCTCATGTGACAAAAACAGATTGGACCACTTTAAGTGCAGTGGTTTAGGATCTGGTCTAATGTGATCTAGATGTGATAAAAGCAGTAAACTTTCATCTTTGATCAGTTTCCACAGACAGAACAAGGCTTTCAATCTAAAAGTTCTGAACTGAACTGAACTCATCGTTACTTCAACTGATGACAACACAACCGTCTTCTAGCTCAGTCCACACCTCAGTAAACGCTGCTGCAGGATTTTCTTTGTTTACTTCCGGCCGGTGTCACACTGTAATGTGTCCCCTCATGTGTGTGATTTATTTCACCTGTACTGTGTCCCACATTACAACCAATCCAGCTGTTTTAACCTGTTTAAACAGCTTTAAAGGCCACATTCAACTCATATATTGCAGTTTTTAACCTGTCGAAAAGTGACTGCAGGTTCTACACTATGGCTGAAATAATATTAATGCATAAATTTGACCAAATTTATTTTATATATTAAAGCCCATATGATAAATGTAATATATCTATTTTTTTATTTTATACATAAACCCATCAACAAATCTTAATTAATGTATAAATAAGGCTACTAGATATTTAAACACACACAGTTTAAACATCTGAACAAATCAGTAAAAGTATAAGCATCCCTAATGTCAGGCCTGATTACACAATAAACTGCAAACATTTATTTTGTGGCAATAATTTGGTGACAAGAAATATAAGTTTTCTCACTCCAATAAGAGACACTTCATCCTTCAGCTCAAGGCAAAAAAATCTAAACAAGCACATTGTGGTTTTCACTGGACAGGAAGGATGTGAAAAACTGAAAAGCTGAAAAGTAATTAAAGCTGTCAGACAAATGTAGTGTGGTAAGAAAAACAATACTTGCTTCTGACACGTAGTGGAGTGGAAGTATAACGTTGAATAAAGTGGAAATGCTAAAACAAGCCACTAATGTCAAATACAAGTATCTTGAATTTGTGCTCACATGAGCCATAAATGCAGCGCCCCACTGCAGCTCATGAACATGACTAGCTCACTAATGACAGTCCAGGGGGGGCTCTGTCCCACCATCAGAACACTGCATTCAATAAATCTAGTGGACTGAGGGGGAAAAAAACATTTTTAAACATTTCCACATGTGATTATCGTCACAGTAAACAGTTCAGTCAGTTTTGGATCTTAAACTGACTCTCTGACTGGGATTTCACCAGAGCACACTTACAAACAAAACAAATAAACATGAAGATAGAAAAAAAACCTACTCAACCTAACTGTATGTTTTTGCCCACTGGATGGATTAAACAAAAGAATAAACCTAAAAAAAAAACTAAAAAAAACAACAACAAAGTAACAGTTCCATGGCAGAAGCAGCCAATTCTACCAGCGATGCACTGTAGGGAAACAAATTCCCACAATCTTAAAAACACTTCATCAAAAAAATGATTAAAATTAAAATTCATACTGACGGAATATTAAAAACTACATGACTGAATTGTAAAATACCTTTAAAGTCAACCGATTATCAGCTGCCTTAAAATCCTGCACAGAAACTGATCTGAAACACATTCAGACAGATGGAAGCAGAAAAAGAAATTTTAATAAAACATACACAAAAAAATGGTGAACACAGAGGAGTATTCAAAGGACAGCTGGTGATCCTGGTGAAATGCTAAATTATTTTTTCTTCAGTAAACTGATTGTAGAGACAAAGCACAGGTGAAGGTAATGAGAGTCATCAAATAAAGAGGGAAACACACAAAGGGAGGAAGAAAAAACAAGCGGCACATGAAAAAATTAGACTAAAAATAAAAACATGAAATAAATAAACTACAAACTATGAAATTAATGTTTACTCCTCTTTCTTTACCTGTCCAGGTCACAGTTGGCCTCCGATACGCCACCAATCTGGAAACATTAATTTCCTCTAATTAATCATAAAACAAACAAACGTGATTTTCAGTCTCAGAAGTTTCTGCTTGTGCCAGATTTTTTCATTTAACAACACTCAGTTTGACATTTGCATCCGTTGAAGCTGTTACATTTGCAGAATGCTACTTTTGAAGGATCAGCAGCCCGCAGATTAGGACCCAGCTACAGCGTTGTGGTTGCAGAAAATCAGAATCACTGAATGCTCCACTGAACATCACAGAAGCTCCTTCATTATTCCCTGTAGCTATTCAAATATACAATTTATCTTTCTCCTGAGGTTGTATAAATATATGCATATCTTCCATCATCTGTTACGGAGCAATTTCCCTGCAGGGATTGATTAAGGTATTCTGATTCTGATCCATAAATCTGCTGCATATAGGCCTCTTTCTGCTGCAGGAACTCGGTGGTGGTCGTATCAACAGCTACATGAATAGCCCCCTAATTTGATCTTTCAGACTTACTGTTTCTATTGCAGTGTAGAATTTAACAGCTTCAACCTCAGTGTGACTCCACTTGCACCAAAACAAAACCAAACAGTAGTGACTGGATGGAACTCCAGTTCTGTCAGTATGTATTTTGGGTTGGTATGTTTGCCAGTGTTGTGAATTTTACATTGCTGGTGGTGATGTTAGAGAGGAGAACACTGATTCTGGATGAGGACATTGAGAGGACAGTTGGACATTTAAACATGGAGATCTGTAGGGATTGACCTCTGAGGCTGCTGATTATCCACGTTTGAACCACTTTGAACTATTTTCTCTTCTGACAATTCGTCCCACAAACTATTTATTTTCAAATTCCACCCTGAGAATCAAAATACAGAAGAGACCCATTGTGTCCCCTCTGTCACCTCAGCTGCCAATCAAACATATACTGTGCTGCTGCCATATCAAGTCTTCATTAAACTGATTTATGGACGTGCACACAGACAGCTACAGACTCTACATACTGTATGTATTTCTGTCAGGGGGAGAGCAATATTTTAGGCCTTTTGTCCTTTTTCCTTTCTGTTTTAGTTTTAATGGGTTACATGCTTTGGTATTGTGCATTTTAGTTGAAGGTTTCTGTTTAACTACTTGGGTTTTCTTCCATTATTTTTGGTGGCAGGTTCGTGTAGTTTGCAGCTTTTAATCCTGAAGTGACAGTGAAGCTGAGTAGAGCTTTATGCTCAGGATCACATGTGTGGCTCTCTGGGCGTGACTGCATAGCAGCGACTTTCTGGACCAACCTGTGTCAATAAATACATTTTTGCTGTTTTTGCGTCTCATAATGTTGAATCCAGTATAATCTTGACTGTCTCCCTGTTAAAGAAGCTTTCTCCAGATAACAAGGTGGAGATGGCTGAAGTTGAAGGAAGCTGTGGTTTAGGAGGAGTTTCCATGTCAGTGATTGGTTGGAGTTGTACCTTGTTTGCTTTTGGTCTTTGGGTTAATTTATTCAAAAGTTCTGTAAAATAAACTTGGTTTTAGCAACAACTCGTGTGTGGTCTCTGACAGCAGCTCTCAGGTAGCAGCTGGGCTGATGCAGCTGAAAACTCTTGAGTCCATCAGTGACAGTAGTGTTTCAGTTCACTTTGAAGAGTCTGTGTTAAAGACTTGTTCATCTAACAGAAAAATAATACAAACTCTATGGACAAGGAGAGTTTTGCAATAAGTTCAAGGAAAGTTTACTGAAAATCACTGTGCTGTTTGCAGATATTGATCCATTTCCTTTATGTCCTGCCTACTATCACTCTGTTTCTCATAAACTGGGCTGATCATTAAACACATAATTCAACAACTGGCAACACACACACACACACACACACACACACACACACACACACACACACACACACACAGTATGAGGGCTTTTACAGTGTTTTACCAGTAGTTGTGGAGATCATCTGACTGAGACACAAATTGAACAAAGACACTGAGTGCAAAGGAGGCTTGTGTAACAAAAAGCATCATAATCACTTCTCTTAGACTCACTGTGGTTTGATATATTGTAACAATGTTATGTCTGTTCCTCAGCCGACGTCTGAAAAGAAGCTCTGGACTGTCCGTCAGAGTTCCAGCAGACATTTTTGTTCATCTGTTCTGTGCTAGAGACTCTGTGTGGCAGCTACAATCAAACTCTGAGCACCAGAGTTCAGCAGAAACACATACAGAGATTTCAGTGTGATCGGTGTAACGTGGCAACTGGCCGAACCATCAACGCAATCAAATGTATTTGTATAGAACTTTATCATACGGAGGTCATTCAAAGTGCTTTATAGGCAACACAGCTATCTTTTTTGTTTTTTGTTCTAAACCCTTTCTGAGAATATTACTGTGAAAACGTTGTGATGTTATCAGCAGGAAGTTTTGTTTTTTGTTGTTTTCAGAATATTCTTCATCAAAGCTGAAAAACATGGTCTAAAAACTAACATTCTAACATTGTTTGCTGATAACATTGTTAGAATAATATGCCCAAACAGGGAAGGTTTTTTTTTTCCATTCCAAGAATGTTTTTGTTGTAAATACATACACCACCACAAGAAAGCAGACCTCCTGAGGATTCCACAACACACACCTTCAGACATGAAGACACTAACAACAATGTGGATTGGGCCTAGATAAACCAACTGACTGGTTCCAACCTCCATCAGGCCTATAAAGGACCAAATGACTGCCAGATACACACTGACCAACTTCTGACGTCGTCCTGAGTCCTCCTTCCCCAGAGTCATCCTTCCAAAGAATCCTTCCTGAGTTCTACTCAAGTTCTTCAAGACCAACTGGGAGGCTCCACTCTGTCCACCTCCGTTCCAACCTGCATCCACAGGCCGACCTGAAGACTACCCATCAGCAGAAGCATCGCAGCAGCATCATTACGTGCGCGCAAGTAACTTTCAGTCACCGAAACTTGGCGCAACTCTTTATTATTAATTCCAAACTGCTAATTAGCCTACCGTCAAATTAGCAGCTGCTTTCAGGTGTGGTCTATTTATCCCTACTTCTCATGAACACTATAGTACACCGTAATATTGACCCCAATATTACATTGTAATATCGTGTTCACCTCCTTCCTTATTGTGTTAGGTTAAAAAATGTTGGTAGTTTAATAAATGTACTTAAATATAAGTTCAGTGCCTCCACTATTTTGTTGTTCACATTTCAGACACTAACTTGTTTAGATACCGGTTTCCTAGCTTGTATAAATAACCCTCGAGTTAACTAATTTCCCAGAACATTCCTGAGGCTCTTCTTGACAGTGCAACAAAAGGTGCTTCATATGCTGCATTATTACATTGGTCTGATTTGAGTACTCCGCTGGCAGAGTATTTCCGAGTAACCTTCCTAAACCAAAAGAAAGTGAGCAGAAATTAAATAATTTCCGTCCAATAAACATCAATGCACAAGCAAGCAGACAGATCACAACTCAGTTCAGCTTTTGAAAAAGTGTTTTCACTCAAGCAAACAAACAAAAAAAATCAAGTTTTACAATTCTGCTTTCATTCACTCTGCTGATCTCTGATTCAGTTGCTGAACTACAGATGCTGTTGGCTCACTGCCTGCTGTGTTTTCATAGAAAACAAGTGTGTTGAAGTGCTGAGAATATGTGTACAGTTTGAGTATATACAGTAAATATACAGTTTGCAGTGTTTGTTGTTCGTGTGAATTGTAAATATATATTTAAACGTGCCCACAACACTTGTTTCGATATGGTCTTATTAGGGATGGACTGATACCTCTTTTTGATTTCCAATACCGATACCGATACTTCAACTTTGAGTATCTGCCGATACCGATACCGATACCAATACCGATACCATCTCTCCTCCTAAACATCTTTGGAAATACCTTATTTGCATGGATACATTTGTTTAAGATGGCTTTATCAAAAGCCTCATACTATTAAAGCATAGACTTTGCTTTTCTAAGAAAGGAAAAAACAGCCAAACGCATGTCTCAAAGTGAAACTGTAGCTGCTTAATTTGAGCTGCAGTCAGACTACAGTGTGCACTCAGTGCCATTCAGATATTTAGAACAGATCAAAATGACACAGCAACATTAATCTGCAGTTTAAAGGTTAAATTACCAAAACTTGGTATTAAATAATAGTACCACTAATAGCCGCTTTCGGCTCTGCGCATGAGCAGTAGTAAATGAGGCCGGAAACGTTGTGACCTGCTGCGGGATGGGATCCAATAGGAAGGTTCTGTCTGCAGAGCCGGAGACCCACGTACAGGCTGCTGGTAGAGGGCTGCACGGAGAGGCTGGACTCGTCTTCTACGGCCGTATAAGTGCACAGCTTCTAGTTCGGGTGCGCGACGTAGTTTTAAAGGGTGATTTCACTCAAAATATACTTCCAATTTAAAAAAAATATATATTTAAGAAGAGTATTTTAACCCCTTACCGCTTCCACGTCCCGCCGGCGGGACGTGACCACTTTCCAAACACATTACAGCCAGATGTGCGCATGCTCCACAATCACGTTTCCCGACAA